TGACTGCTCTCTCAGGAGAAGGTTGTCTAATATCCCCACTATGGGAACATGGGGATATTTTGAGATCAAAGTAGAGCCAAAACTGGGGTCAGCACCTTGATTAAAAACCTGAGGTACAGTGCACACAGGTTGGAATAGAAGCTCTGAAAGCTTTCTGCCTCTGGAAAAGGGGAACTATGACCCCCTATGAAAGGAGGTGATCTAGGGCAGCGAAGCGATCTGTCTTTGAGGAGATTTCGGCAAGTTGGAGAACAGGAAGCAAGGAGGAGACAGGGAACGAAAACTCTTGGTCACAACGCTCTGGGGATTGGGAATGATGTCTGTCATGTAAAGAGGGCTTGTTCCGAGATTTTGCAGGCTTCAAGGGCTGGAACGTACAAGGGAACTCAGTATCCAGCTTAGGGCTAGGTACCAGAGGCCTGGAAGGGATGAAAGGAACTTTTCTTAAAAGGAGGGAGCAGAGGATTTTGCTACTTTGGTTTGGTCTTCTTCTGACATAAAAAAGGTACTCTTTCCCCCCTCACTTCCTTGATACAAGAATCTAAGATTCACTGAAAGGGAATTCCCCAGCAAAGGGCATGCCCTTCGGGAGCTTCTTGGTGGCAGCGCCATATTGCATAACTGGGCCTGCACGGGGAAAAAAAAAAAAGCTTTAAAGAGAGCTTATAACCTGTGGTCCTAGAAAACAAGGACATGTTCTACAGGAACCATTGAAGTCTTGTTTAAGCAAGAAATGGCTGGGTCTACGAAAGGAACATTTCTTAAGAAACCCTCATTAACAGTGTATTGCTAAGCAAACTGTTTGGGAGGATTAAAATTGTTTTAGGGTGATCCCAATCACCATATAACACAAAGTACTGGGATGGTTTTAGCAGGTTTGAGCATTTTTAAGGAGCGCACACTAGTGAGCTTTGGTAGGGTCACCACAGGCGGCTCTAATTGTAGGCATGTGCAAACTTTGTGTATAAGGATAAAGATCGTATCCTTGAGTGTAGGAGGGATGTCAAGAAATAGGTCCCTTACCTGCGCTGAGTCCACATAACTGAATGCAGCCCCTAAATCTTCATTTTCAGGTAGTGCAAAAGCAGACAGAGGAAGGTCAGAAGGGGAT